CATGCAAGGGAACACGCTCCCCAGGTTCCAGGGATTAGGATGCAGACATCTCTAGAGGGGAGTTAGTCCATCTCCACACCATCCCCTGTGGCGGCAAAGCAGACTTGGGGTTCCAGAAGGTGGGACCTTCTGTCTGTCCTGCTGTCCGCTGCCAGGTGGAGGGGCCCCGCCCCGTGCACGGCTGCTGGGCACCTGTCACTGGCACGGGGGAGCAGCTCACGGGAGGAAGGACAGGTGGGCACCTTGTGGGCTGGCCCATCCCGGGGCTCTGCTTCCCCAAGGGTCCTGGCCATGCAGCCTCCCAGGCTATGGGCCTGTCCCTTCTCTGTCACTTGCTCCCAGCCCCTCGCTGCCAATGCCCCCTCCCCAACAGCACACAGTCCTCCTGTGGGTGAAGAAGGGTACTGGGGGGTCTGCAGCGGGGCGATAGCCCCACTGCCTGACCTGTACCCCCGGCATGGGTGACAGTCCCGGTGGTAAGGGCACCAGTCGGAGCAGCCCCGAGGCCACCGTGCACCCCCAGCTCCATTCACACAGACCCGATTCTCACAGAAGCGCCCGAAATGGGTTCTGCTATCCCGCATGAAGGAGCAAAAACTGAGGCTCAGAGAGGGGCAGTGATGGCAGGAACAGAAGTGGACGCAGGGGGTGTCACCACCAGCGTTGGGGAGGAAGTGGAGGTGGCCCTGGAGGTCAAGGGGAGAGATCAGGCCCCACTCATGCCCGACACCAGATGAGCCACCCCACACGCCATAGGACGGCACCATGGTGGTCATGGGGGACACTCAGGGGACGCACCGCCTGCATGGGGCACATCACACACACTGGTGTCACTGCCCACCTGTGGGGACCAGCTGACCAGCCCGCTGTGCTCACAAAGCAGGAGCTCACCCACCACTGCTCCTGGGGCCCCAGTGTTGCCGTGAACGGGTGGACGCGGTGAGGGCAGGGGGCTGGCCCCGGGGCGGGGCGGCGGTGGGGCGGGGGGAGCCTTCACAGGGGCCTTCGCAGGCAGGACTCAAACCAGGAAGCCGGAGCTGAGCCCAGCATGTGCCACAGGCCTGCGGTGTCCGGGTCACCCCCCAGCACGTTAGGAATGATTCCAGAACAGCTCACCTTTGAGAAGTATTTCGTTCTTCACCCCCAGCTCCTTCCTGGTGAGTCCCGTGAGCCGCTGGCGGACAGCTCGGGCGTCTCCTCTGGTCCCAGCTGCTCATGCTCGCCGTGCCCAGCAGGGCCTCGTCCCAGGGCAGGACGCAGCTGGCCCGCTGCAGAGCCAGCGCCGGGGGGGCGGGGGCGCCGTGCCCGTGGGCTTACAGGCCCCACCCGAGTGCGGCCGGCGTCCCCCGTGTCCTCATTGGTGGGTTCATCTCCAGCGGGTTTCTGAAACAGCCCCCCCCACCCCCCCACCCCCAGGTCCCAGGAGAGACCGGCCTCGGCACCCTTCTCCACTCAGGAAGCTGTTCTTCTCTCGGGGAACCGCGGCCTCCGCTCTGCGCCACTGTGCCCTCCCGGTGACCCGGGAAGTTTTCGTGCCCCTGGACCCGGACCCGAGATGCCGCACTGCAGACAGGAAGGAAAGAGCTGCTTTCCGAGCACAGAAATTCTCTAATTTGATGCTGGCAGTCATTATGGGTGCCAGGTCCAGGGGGCAGGCCCAGCACCCCCCGTTTGGCTGGCACCACGGTTTCCTGGATGCAGGGCTCCCCACTCAGGCCGGGATGGCGAGGACAGTGTCACCACCGCAGGTGTCAGGACACACCCAGAGGGCCACCCCGTTTCCCAGGGGCCGAGCAGTCGCACCTACGAGTAGGAGCCAGAGAGCTGGGGGCCCAGCGGGGACGAGGGGAGCCCTCCCCTCAGACCAGGGCAGGGAGGGCCTGGCTGGGCTGTCCCCTCCTTCTGGCCTTCAGCCCTACCCGAGGCCTCTGAGGCCACGATCCTTATTCCAGCTTTGCAGAGGTGAAGGGGACTCGGGCTGGCAGAGGCCCCTCCCAGGACGGAGGGTCGAGGTAAGGCCTCCTGCTTCGCCAGGGGCCCGTCCCCCAGCCCTGCTGCCCTGGCCTGGCCGCAAGTCCCTGCTCCTTCTGGAGAGTGCTGAGGGAAGGTCACCACCAGTGGCTGTGTGCAGAGCCCTGCTGCGGGCAGGGGGGCGGCAAACAGAGCTGGGGGCAGGGAAGGGTTAACAGGAACACGCACAGGCGGGCTGGGGGCCGCTCCGCAGGTGAGCTGGAAGCCAGTCCCCAGCTGCCCGGCACGCCAGCGACCCACGCGGCTCTGCGAGGGAGAGAAGAGCAGAGATGTAATGAGCCAGCCACCCTTCACTGATTTGCACATAATCGTATCTTTCCCTTAATGGAACCAGCAACCGAGGCGCCGACAGCTGCTCTCTCCATTTTCCCCATTTCATTCAAGAGGTTCAGGCAGTGCCCGGCCGCGTTCAGTGTCAAGCAGACGCTAGCGGGGCAGGCCGTGCCCGCCAGCCCGTGCCCGCTCTCGGCGACGGCCTGCGCTCCGGGCCGCGTGGGAGGCCCGCCTCGCACAGCCGGCGGTGTGGCTCGGCGTGGCCTGGCCCGTGGCTGCCCCTCTGGACTGGGGACTTTCTGAAGGCTGGCACTTGTGCGTTTCTCTGCTCCTGTCACCTTCGCCGCAGGCGCTAACAGGGCCGTCAGACATTGGAGGGAACGAATGTTATCCAGTGACCCGGGGGCGGGGGCAGGGAGTGGTTCCCCTCCTGGAGACACGGGGACGGGCAAGCGGTGGGCCCGGAGCCTTCCTGGAGCTCAGTCTCCCCTGGCGCCCCACACCCACACTCTGAGGCCCAGAAGGGAAGTCCATCCCCGACTCTGTCCGCGAACATGAGGTGGGAATCCGGGCAGAGCTGGGTATAGAATGTGCGTCAGGGACATTCACCCACCCAAACAGAGGGCGCGGCCTGAGCCGGGCTGGGGAGTGGATTCGTCTGTCGCTCCAGTGCCTTTGCGAGCACGCTCACAAAGCGTGTGGAACACGCTTCCGTTCTCGTGGTGCCAGGGAGCAGGCCAGGCCACGGTGCTGAGGGCACGTGGAGGTCGTCGCCCCGACGCCGAGTGTGGCAGGGGGAGGGCTGGGATTACGGGGGTGCGCTAGAAGATGAGTTTTGTTTCTGTGCACTTTCCAGATTTTCTGTCATGTGTTGTAAAGGCTTGTGGTTTTCGTGAAACGAGATACGTCGGGGGAGACAGATGTCAGAGGTCTTTCCTGGAAGAACAGCTGTGGGGGGAAGCGTGGGGGGTTCTGGACCCGCAATTCCCTCCCCCCACCCAGCTGCCCATGGAGCACACCCCCTCCGTGTGCTCACCCCCACACTCACACTCCTGTCACACGCACACTCCGCCTCACACACATGCAGGCTCCCCTCATGCATGCTGTCACACACACTCACACGCTTACACTCAACATGCTCACACACATGCAGTCACACACTCATGCACACATAGGTTCACTCACACACGCATGCTCAGTCTCTCCCACACATGCTCACCCACTCACACTCACGCTCTTACACGTGCATCTCTCCCTGCACACTCGTGCACTCACACTGTCTCACTCACACACACACACACACACACACACTCAACATGCCAAGCCCTGACTTGGCCACACAAGGTCGGCTGGATGGACACACAGGTTCCCTGAGGATCGCACCCGCCCTGGAGGGAGGTTTCCCTCACCACCACCCCCGCCCCCCGGGCAGGCCACCCCCTACCTCCCTCCGAGCCTCCAGGCTCCCGACTGAGGGGCTGGCCTCATGTGGGCGCCTGGGCCCCCGGCTGCTGGGCAGGAGGGTCATCGCCACACCCACCTGGCGTCCCCAGCCGGCCTCCACCGTGGGCTTGGTGATGACGGGGTCACCTCATGAGGCGCATGAGGAATCATGACACAGCCGGCGGGGGAGGGCGGGAGCACTTCTGGGGCTCCAGGCCATCTTCCCACATGAGGACGTACACACCTGAGTGTCGCTGTCGCGTCACTGCTCCATGGGCCCGTGGATGTGACGGAGGTCAGCGGGGCAGGCTGGCAGCAGCACTGGTACCGGTGACACAAGGTCCCTACAGCCTTAGGACCCCCCCCACCCGACCTCCGCGACCTCCTGGCTGGCCGTGTCGGCGCAGAGTGTGGGCCTCACGCAGCAGGGATCTGGAGGCCGGAAGGGCGAACTCACGGTGTCACGGGGCTGAGCTTGGGAGACTTGAGGGGAGGCTCCTTCCTGCCTCTTCCAGCTTCTGGTGCCATGGCCTCATCTCTGCCTCATCTTCACGGGGGCTCTCCTTGGAGTCCGCTTTCTCATGCTCAGATCCCAGCCTGTGCCCCCGACCCCCACCTCCAGGCAGGTCCCCCAGACACCCCTCCCACCACCCCGCTGGGGTGTCCTGGGGGCTTCCGGGGTGGGTTCTAGCATGGCACTCTCCAGCCTACTGCCCCCCACCCCCACCTCCCCCGCACCTCTGCCCCCCAATCCCTGCTCTGCTCCTTGGGTTCCAGAGCTTTCCCCAGCTAGTACCCAGTCACCCCTGGGGCCTGCCTGTGAGTAAACAGTGCGCGGGGCAGAGGCCCAGCCGGTGCCTTGCGGCCATTCATCCTACACACACCGTGCCCGCCCCTGCCACAGTCTTGCCCTCCGGTTCTGGGTCTCCCTCACCTGCAGAGGCCCCCATGGGCTGTGACCGCAGCTCAGCCCTTTCAGGCAGGAGCATCTGGGAGACCCCCAAATGACCCTGGGCCCCTCCAGCGTGGCACACACCCTCTGGGTTACAGCTCTGGTGCCCACACCTGTCTCCTCCGGCCTGCACGTGAGGAGGGCAGAGACTGGGCCACACGTCTGTGTCCTAGCACTCAGCCTGCACAGAGGGCTGGCTGCGTTCGGGGGGGCGGGGGGAGGGGATGGATGGATGGATGGATGGCAGGCAAGGCCACCTGGGTGGTGCCCTTGACAGCCTCGCATCCTGTGACCCTTGCAGATGTGCTGGTGGACGGACAGCCGTGCGACTGCGAGGCTGCAGCCTGCCGGGTGGGCGACCCTGTGCGTCTGGAAGTGCGGCTCACCAACCGGAGCCCACGCAGCGTGGGGCCCTTCGCCCTCACGGTGGCCCCCTTCCAGGACCACCAGAATGGCGTGCACAACTATGACCTGCACGACGCCGTCTCCTTCGTGGGCTCCAGCACCTTCTACCTCGATGCGGTGCGTGGCAGTCTGTGAGCCCCGTCGCAGCCCCCCGTGGCCACTGTCCTCTCACTCAGTGTCCCCTGCCTAGTGGCGACCCGTGACCCAGAAGAACTGGTGAGGTCCACGAAGCACAGCCCTCACGCCCCACTGAAATGACACCTCGCCCCAACCACTCCCCACCCTGCCTGCAGCCCAGGATGGCCCAGGGAGGGAAGTACTGTGCTCCTTCCAAAGCCAGATGCTAAGGCTCAGAGAGGCACAGCCACTTGCTTGGGGGAGCCCAGCAGGGAAGCCCTGGGTGGGGGGGGCCCTTCCCTCCCCCCATTGACCCCACGTGCACGTGCCCATAGGTCTGAGGGTCTCTTGGTGGCATGGGGGGTACTGCTCTGGGCTGACATTGCCCCCTCTTCCCCACAGGTGCAGCCCTCAGGCCAGGCGGCCTGCCTCGGAGCCCTGCTCTTCCTCTACACGGGCGACTTCTTCCTGCACATCCGCTTCCACCAGGATAGCGCGAGCAAGGAGCTGCCGCCGTCCTGGGTCTGCCTGCCCAGCGTGCATGTGCGTGCCCTGGAGGCGCAGGCCTGAGCCCTCCCGCCCCCTCAGGGCCCCTGCTCCTGTGGGCGCAGCCGGCCCACCTGGCGCCCGCCTTCCCTCCACCGCCCCCGCCTTGCCCCCACCCTTCCTCCTTTCTCCTGTGCCCCAGACACGGCAGCCTCACCCCTTCCCGGACTGCCCAACCCTCTGCTGGAGCCTGGCACTAACCAAACCCCCGAGGACAGCACCCACCCAGCCCAGGACCTGGGGTCCCTGCACCTGCATCTGTGACTTGGGGGTTGCCCCCCCAGCCAGGAGAAAGATGGCGCGTGAGGGAGGGACTCCCCGAAGGCTGGCTTCTCTCTGGAGGGCCCCGAGGCAGCCCCCCGCCCCCAGCAGGCAGACATGCAGGCCCAGGGCCGCTCCCAGACGGGACTGCGTGTGTCTGTGTGTCGGTGACACGTTCTCCAATAAAAGACCTGCCTCGCTTCTCTGCTGGTCTGTGCGTCTGCTTGTCCGGTGTGGTGGGCGGGCTGCCCACCCAGCCGCCAGCCCCCCACTCAGGTAGGGACACGGAACACAGATCCCCCGTGTCACACACGACTGGTGGCCAGCGCGGTTGGGTGTGTGTCTGTCTGCCCTGCACCCCCAGCCCCGCCCTGTGCATGCGCCCCTTGGGCCCCTGGCCCCACTCAGAACACTGACGTGAGCCCCGCTCCGCGGCCCCGGCCATCTCGGCCTCCCGCCTTTCCTCATGGGCCCCACGCAACATCCACTCCTCTCTTCCCTTCCACTCCCTCAGGAGGACGTTCGGAAGTGACAGCGGCATAGTTTGGGCTGAGCGTCCCTGGCCCGAGGGGACAAGCCCTGCAGAGGCCACGGCAGCCCTCAGCCAGTGAGGGCAGGCTCTCCCCTCAGGACTCCCCTCCCCCTCGCTCCCTGGGGGCCACCCGCCCCGCCACCTGCAGCTCTCCCCACCTGGCAGCCCCCAGCGCCCCACCTCTGCCCCGCCAGCAGGACTCTGGGGCCACCCCATTTCCACGAGGCCACTGGACAGCAGGTATGGCACTGACTCACAGGGACAGAGGAGGAAGGACAGTCGTTGGGCCGTCGGGCCTGGGTGCATTGGCCCAGGGGGACCCTGTGACTTGAGAGATGGGCGCCCTTTCAGAGGGTTTGGAGCCTCTGATCCCGATCAAAGCTGCAGGCTAGGGGCAGGGGAGAGCCTTCCAGGCCCCACCTCACAGGGGCTGCCTGGTGTCGTGTGCCAGGCGTGGCTGGGACACATGGCCCCTGCTGGGCATTCCCCAACTACTCTGGGCCCAGGGGCACCGTCCCCCCCACGGGGGAATCTGAGCCTCCGCGTGCCTGGCGCTCAGAGCGGAGGCGGCCTGGTGGGATCAGAACCCCATGGGTCCTCCCTGCTGCTGGGGCCCGTGGCGCCCGGGAGGCCGCCAGGAGGGCCGCGCCCCCCCCACATCGCTCTGAGGATGTGTGTCCAGGCCCTGAGGCCCAGGCTGCTTACCCTCGGCGGCTCCCACCGGAGGGTGAGCAGGGTCAGGAGGGCCCGTGCCGCCCAGGGGAGGGCACCTTGTTCAGATGGCACGAAGCTTCTGTGGGGACAGCGGGGGCCCGCACTCTGGCTCCTCGGCGTCCATCCCCACAGGACATGTCTCTCACCAAGCTCTGCCCTGAGCAGCACCCCCACCCCCCTCCAACCTCCCAGGCAGGAGGAAGGCTCAGAGCTTTCCTGCAGGGCCCCACCCAGGAAGGGTCCACGTCTCAACCCCCATAGCAAACCCTGGGACGGGAATCAGCCCAGGCAGCATGTCTGGGAGGAGGCTGCCCCCCGTGGAGAGTGAGGCTCAAAGGGAAGGGAAAGAGCACGCGAGGGGGCATAGTAGCAAGAGAACACCTGCCTCGGGGGGACCCAGCCCGGGGCGTATACTCCAACCCCCCCCCCCCCCGGCGTTCATTCCTCCTCGCCAGCCTGCCAGGGCACGAGCAGATCAGCACCCCACGCTTCCCGGTTGTCCCCGGGGCACTGGAGGCCCCCAGGAGTCTCATAGGCGGGGACAGGGAGGGGGGGCTTGCCCAAGGCCATTTCCTGAGACAGGCTGGGGGTGGCGTAGCAATATTCCATCTCTGCCCCCACTTCCTGACATGGGCGTCCTACGTCCCTGGGATTTCCTGGGTGATAGGCGTGCCTTTGTTCTAATGAGCGGTGGTCACCAGAAAGACCCAGAATGGTTAGAAGCGTGGAACTCTCAGGCCCACCCCTCCATCAGGTGCGGGGGGCGGGAAGCGGCCGGAGCTTGCCTTAAGGATCAGTTGTTCCAATGAGATGAAGTCTCTACAAAACTCCCTGAACTCTGGGGTTCGGAGAACTTCCTGTTTGGTGAGCATGTCCCTGTGCTGGGGGGGGGTCGCCCCAGCCTCAGGAGACAGCCCGGGACCCTGCCAGACCCCCATGCACCTCTTCATTTGTCCGCTCATCTGTATCCTTTGTAATATCTCTTATAATAAGACGGTAAACGTAAGCAGCATTTTCCTGAGTTCTGTGAGCCGCTCTAGCAAAGCATTGAAACTGGGAAGGGGTCATGGCGACCCCCTTACAGCTGGCGTTAGAAATACGGTGGCCAGGATTTGCGAAGAGGGTCTGCGATGGCGGCAGCGTCGTGGGCCTGAGCCCTTGACTTAGCTCCCAGCAGTTCATGGTCAGAGCTAAGTTGACCTGCAGAACACCCAGCCAGGGCCAGAGCGGGGAACGTTGGCGTCAGAAGGCATCGTGAGAAGGCCGTTTCCCTGGCTAAGCCCGGGAGGGAGCAGGCTGCCTCGGCTCCCGTGGGGGAGGGGCGTCAACTGGCCTGGGGGCCGGAGGAGCTTCCCAGGGATCCGAAACCCCAGGCCCAAGCCTCCTCCCCAGACACAGGGCCCCTTGCAGCATCTGGTCCCAGGGACCTGGTGTCGGCTGCCGTCCATGGCCTCCCTCGGGGCAGCCGGGGCAGGCGTGCCGTGGGTGCCAGGAGTTCCCTGCTGCACCTCACCGACTGCCCAAGACTTGCGGCTCCGTACAGAACGCAGGCCCAGGTGGCCCCCGTGCAGGGCCTGGGGACTCGGAGCAGGATCGCTGGCAGCAGGGATGGCCAAAGCCCTTGGCTCAGGTGCCAGAAAACTCCTTGCAGGGCCGGGCGACATCCGTCCACCGCTCCCCTTCCCAGATGCCCCGCACACGGAGGGCAGATGGACAGGCCCGAAGCGGGGGCTTTGTCCTGGGGAGTCCTGGCCCGGACACTTCCTCACCTCGTCACCTGGGGCAGCTTGTCTGTTAGGCTCAGATGAGGGGATGCAAGACAAGGGCTTACTGCGCTGCCCTGCACACAGTAGGTGCTTTCTAAACAGCCAGTTGGCCCCTTGGGCCAGGGTCTGGGAATGTATCTTATATCCCTGGGCAGCCGGGGGCTCCTGGCAGGAGGTCCGCTCACGGCGTCCATCCTGTGCGCCTGTTATAGGTGAGTCACCCTGGCGGGTGGGGACCACGTGAGGCTGTTCGTCCTTGGCGCACATCCAGAGACTCCTTCAGAAGGAGACGGAAACAGCTCCCTGGCGATCACTGCTGAGCTCGGGGGGCCACTTGCCCCGTGCCAGGCAAACGAGGAGTGGAGAGAGACAGTGGATGGACTTCCCTGCCCCCCCCCACCCCCCAGCCTGAGGACGGAGCCCAGGACCACACGGGGCTTAACTGGATTAAACTGAATGCCGTGCTTCAAGCAGCTAGACCGCACCTGTCCCCAGAACTCAGAGACCAGGGCTGCCCACAGGGAAGGTGCCCAGGGCCCATCAGCAGGACCGAGGGCATGGAGCCCACTTGCAGCAGAGGCACCTGGGAAACTAAAGAGCCGGATGTCTGAGTCTGTGGACAGGAGGATCTGGGAAGGCTTCCTGGAGGAGGTGACATGGGGGTGGGGGAGGAGGAAGGGCTCTCTAGGAATGCGGGAGGGCAGAGCAAAGACCCGGAGGCAGGACAGTAGGCTCGTGGGCCCTTGGAACACGGAGGGGCCCTGCCACTCCTCTCAGCCACCGAGGACTGACAGGTTGTGCCCTGCTGGGGCAGAACCCACGAAGAGGTCGTGCCCTGTGGGGACACGGAGGAGGGAGTCGGGTTCTGTTTGGGGTCAGACGGGGAACAATGGACTTGGCCTTGCTGCAGTTCCCCAGGGGAGAAGGTGGTGGAAGAGTGTTCAAGCAGAAGGAACAGCAGGTGCCTGGAGGCCAGAGGGCGGATGCACGTGGACACTTAGTATGACAGGAGGTGCACGGCCCCGGGGCCCGAGGAGGGTGGAAGTTGCCCCGGGAGGGGGTATAGGCCACCGCCTGCTCCTCCACCTCACGCCCTTCCCCCTCCCGCAGGGCCCACAGTGTGTGTGCCCCAGCCGCGCTGGCCTCTCTTCTCCACCACCAGGCCTGTTGTGCCTTGGGGCCTAGACTGTTCTCTGTGCCTGGGTGGGGGCCCTGCCCACGGGCTTCACGTGGCCTCTTGCATCCGCTCAGCTCCACACCACCTCCCACGAGGGGCCCCTCCTGACCACCAGCTCTCCGTGGAGGAGGTGGTCCAATCTGGAATGGTCTCTGCTTGCTCGAGCATTGTGTGCTCTGTCCTCTGCTGGAATGTGAGCCAGTCGGTGGAGGGCACTGCAGGGGGAGGGGCTGCGAGCCGTCCTGAGCCTGGAGACAGGGCCCTGGGCACAGGCAGAGCATGAGTGTCTGGAGCTCAAACAAAGCCCGGCACAGGCTCTGCTTGTTTGCTGGCACTCCGCTTCTCTGAGCCTGGATTTCTCATCTGTAGGATGGAGATAATGATGCTCCCCTCAGCGGGAGCTTGAAGGGCATTTCTAAAGGGCCTGGATAGTGTGAGATGCCTGGGTGCCCAGCGAACAGTTGTTGAATGAAAGGATGAACATAGCCTCCATTCCCCGGCTGCGAGGCGGTCTTGGCCCTGTGAGATACGTGACCTTGGCCTCAGTGTCCTGCTCTGTAAGCTGGGATCTATCCCATTTCATCCCCTAAATCCATCACCCATAGGAGTAGAAGACATGGGGCTCTTTCCAGGCCCTCCTGACCCCCAAGACGCTCTGAGCTGTCCAGGCAGGGTACTCTAGGGCAGGTAGGACCCCAACACCACCCCCCGTGAAAATGTTGAGCAAAGCCAGGACACGATGCTCTGCGGTCTGCCACCGCCCCTGACACACACAGAGTCAGTGAAGAGGCCACAGGATGCAGGAGGGGGAGTGTGGGCACAGCGCTGGGCCCGGGTCATCAGGGCCCTCAGGACATAAAGCCCCCAGACTGTGTATCAGCTCTCCGAAAACCCTGAGCAGAGCCAAGCGCAGGCTCCCAAGGACCCCCACCCACCCACATGGAGAGGGTGGACCGGAAATCAGGAGACAGTAACTAGGACAAAGAGCTTAGCCAGCCCCGCAGAAGGCAAGCTGT